ACAGCAATGACTACGGCAAAGTGGCTTCGCACTGTCATTTCCCCACTTCCATCAAAGCCCTCACAAGAGCTGGAGCGATTCTTGACATCATGCGACAAGGATATTACAAGTGATGTAATACGCAGAGCGCAGATTATCTTGCAAGCAATATTTCCTAGTAGTCCCCTTGGTGACCGATGTGTAACTGGAAGCCTTCAAAGTGCTAATCTAATGGACAACATATGGGCGGAACAACGAAGATTAGAAGCACTGAAGTTATATTATAGGGTATTGGCAACAATGTGCAGAGCAGAAGCTCAAATACTCGGCAACAATCTAACATTGCTGCTTACTAATGAGAGGTTCCATAGGTGTATGCTTGCTTGTTCTGCAGAACTAGTCCTGGCTACTCACAAGACTGTAACGATGTTGTTCCCTGCTGTACTAGAGAGAACTGGAATCACAGCTTTTGATCTTAGCAAAGTGATAGAGAGTTTCATTAGATATGAAGAATCTCTCCCAAGAGAATTGAGGCGACATCTTAACTCACTGGAGGAGCGGCTTTTGGAGAGCTTGGTATGGGAAAAGGGTTCTTCAATGTATAATTCATTGGCAGTTGCTAGACCCGCCCTTTCTGTAGACATCAATCGGCTTGGTCTGATGGCAGAACCCATGCGATCGTTAGATGAAATCGCAATGGATATTAACTTCTCTTGTGGAGGACTCCCTCCTGTGCCTTCCTTGCCGAAGCCTGAGACGATGTCAGGTAAATGATTCTCTTTTATCAGTTTAAATTTTAAGTCATGTTTTCTTTGCTCCATATTCTAAAATGCCCCACACATATTTTCCTTAATCATTTATACGCATGTCTCCCTTAAAATAGCACATGTTGAACATATTCTCTGTTTGCAATTTCAGCACAAAATGGGGACCCCAGATCACCAAAACGGCTCTGTACTGAACATCGAAATGTGTTGGGGGAACGAAATTCTTTTACTTCACCGGTGAAAGACCGACTTCTTCACTTAAGCAACCTAAAGTCAAAACTACTCCCACCTCCTTTGCAATCAGCATTTGCAAGGTATAATAAGTCTGATGAGTCTTGAAGTAACATTCTTTGTAAATTTTCTTAATTTGAATTTTTCATCACTTTAATGTTGGCTTCCTTGGTTGCTTTGCGTTGAATGTTTATGTTTATTCATTGTAGTCCGACAAAGCCAAATCCAGGAGGTGGAGGAGAAACATGCGCTGAAACTGGTATCAGTGTCTTTTTCAGCAAGGTATGAATTGAACCTTGATAGTACTGTTATACCAATTTGGTTGTAAAATACAACTTGCAAGCTATACATGATGTTGTCTTCCGTAAGCGTTAAATTGTGTTCATTGTTTCCTAGATTGTCAAGTTGGGAGCAGTCAGAATAAGCGGAATGGTTGAAAGGCTACAATTATCTCAGCAGATAAGGGAGAATGTATACTGTCTTTTCCAGCGAATCCTAAACCAATGGACATCGCTCTTCTTCAACCGCCATATCGACCAAATCATTCTGTGTTGCTTCTATGGAGTTGCAAAGGTTTGTCTTCAATTTTAAATGAGCATGTAATATGAATTGATTACTTTTTTTCTCATTCTATTCTGTTTTGCAGATATCACAGCTGAACCTAACTTTTAGGGAGATTATATACAACTACAGAAAGCAACCCCAATGCAAACCACAAGTTTTTCGAAGCGTATTCGTCGACTGGTCATCTGCGCGCCGTAATGGATCATGCAAGCAAAGAACGGGACAGGAGCACATTGATATCATTTCATTTTACAATGAAGTTTTCATTCCCTCTGTAAAGCCATTGCTAGTTGAAATTGGCCCTGGCGGAACAACTACGAAAAGTGACCGAATACCTGAAGCTAACAACAAAAATGATGGTATTTGCTTATTCACCTAGTTACTTTCAACCATTGCTACACAGTTCTTCCATCCATTGACACATGCTTTTCTCTGTATAGGTCATTTGGCTCAATGTCCAGGATCTCCTCGAATATCACCTTTCCCAAGCCTTCCTGATATGTCACCTAAAAAAGTTTCTGCAACACACAATGTGTATGTCTCTCCATTAAGATCATCCAAGGTACAATGTCACACTCTTACCAATGAGCCAACTCATAATGAATCCGTGCATTAATTGATTAATTATGTGCACAGATGGATGCTCTAATTTCACATAGCTCGAAAAGCTATTATGCATGCGTTGGGGAGAGCACACATGCTTATCAGAGCCCTTCAAAAGACCTGACTGCCATAAACAATCGATTAAACGGGTATGCTACTTTCCACGTCTTGCTTTTCGAATTGCATATTATGTTAACAATAAAATCATGTATTTAATCAATCTGTTTCAATTTTTTAGCACCCGGAAAGTAGTAAGAGGATCCCTCAATTTTGATGACGTTGATGTTGGCCTAGTTAGCGACTCTATGGTAGCAAACAGCCTCTATATACAAAACGGAAGTTCTGCGTCATCATCAGGTGCACCATTGAAGACTGAGCAACCTGACTCTTAAACTCAATGATGTGTACATTCCACCAGTCCTCTTTTCTCATACTTTGGAGTTCATACTTAGCTGTTAATGGATTTTGAGACGAGGGGCTGTGTACGAGCGGCTCATGATTGTAGAAAGCCGCCTCTACCCCTTTGTACTTTTGGTATATTGTTAGGCATTTTAGTGCAAATTGTAGGTCTTACTTTCAATTAGCTAAGCAATAAAATGTTTTCCTTTTCTAGCTTAAAACACAAATTTGATTATTTTATAAAAGGAAACTGAACTAAGAAAGATGCTGAGAAATAAGCTATCACATGTTTAACATGTTTATAACTCATAACTGTGATTTCTTGATAATAATACATGTGATGTTAGTAAGTTGTAACATTCTTTATCTATTCACTTGTTTATAAATATATTCAAATGAGGTTCGGTTCTTGGTAAACGAGATCTAATAGTATTTTCAAGCATGACATTTTTGAAAAACTCATGTCAAAAGTATCTCTCTATTTTTAAAAGTTTAAATAAATATTCAAGTCAATTTAAAAATCTATTCCACATTATGTAAAGCTTTTATAGTGTTAAGTTATAAAAGAGAGTTGAAATATGATGAAATAAGAGCAAAAAAATGTGGATGTACTACATACTTAACTTGGTATGTTTGGAAACAAACAATGGTTTGTATGTACACAATCACAAGTTAGTAGTTAAAATATTAAAGAGTGAGACGACAATGAACACTGTTCTTCTAACAAGTCTGATGAATCTCTTTTTTAGACATGATACGTCGTCCATGGTGAGGGCCTAAAATCATGCCTCATCATTGCAGCATCAGTGCATGGTAACAATATACATGCTATTTTTAATTATATAATTGATATATCAAAATTAAATTAAATATTTATTCTTTCTTTCCATATACGACGAGCAACTTGGTTCTCATAGAGCGACAATGCTTGAGCATTTAATAGAGAGAACGTTGCTTAAAGTTTAACTTTTTATTTTTATTTTACCATTCATTAAAATTCTTTTGAATGCAATTTTATATTTTAATGTTTGAACCAAATCAAATTTCATATAATTATACTTTAGATTTTAAATAAATCAAATTTAATCATTAAATCAATTTTAACAAATTAAATTTAAATGAACTCTAATTTAATTTTGAATTAAAAGTATGATAATTATAGTAAAAATTAAATAAATGAAATATCAATGATAAAATTGTCCAAATTTCAATTATAATTTTTGTCATGATAAAAGCTTAAAACAATCTATTTGAAAAAAAGGCTTGTAGGCAAATTAGTTGTAAAATGTGAAGATTTTTTTGAAAGATCCACCCGATAATATATTTTTACAAATTTGAGCATAGAGGAGATGGATTGAAGACACGTCTAAATTATCGATTTTTTTTATGCAAAGCAATTATACAGTCCTCACAAATACACTTCAAATTTGGAAAACTTAGACCAGAAGAAACTGTTTCTTTAAGAAATGAAGAATTGCTATTCAATTTATCAATTCCCGTTTTAGAAATTTATTCATCCCAAACAAAGACAATTTTTTCAAACCCAATATATACTTTCAGACTTTTTATGCTATGTTGGTTTCAAGTAAAGGCTAGGCCATTGATCTATTTATTTAGTTATCTGATCTTGTAGATTATAAGGTTTAAAAAATTATGTTTCCTTAGTAGTAAAGCGTTGGACGGTTACTTCCTTAGCCAGCCAAAGGGACAAATTTATTGATTGCGCGAATGGTTGGAACCAATATCGGCTTTGGATTTAGATTGCACGAATGGCTGGAACCAATATCGGCTTACTTCCTTAGCCAGCCAAAGGGACAAATTTATTGATTGCGCGAATGGTTGGAACCAATATCGGCTTTGGATTTAGATTGCACGAATGGCTGGAACCAATATCGGCTTTGGATTTAGATTGCACGAATGGTTGGAACCAATATCAGCTTTGGATTTAGATTGCGTGAATGTGTTGTATGCAATCTAAATCCTAGCCAAGCTCTCAATGAGCTTAGGTCAAGGACAGTAAAGAGAGTCGAATTTAAAATGTTATCAGTAATACGCAGAAAAATGGCTACTGGAAATTATATCAATTCCCATTGAAGTAAAGGAAACAGAGTCCTATATCACTGGTTTATTTTAAACGACGATAACTTACCATGCCTTAGCATGTAAAAGCATCAATCCTAACTACCCATTTCTCACACTCCCCAATGGTTCTCCAGTCAACAGTCAGCTTTACAGGTCGAAGCCCCTCTCTCCTCAACAAGACTACTATTGGTGTTTAGCAGTCACAGTAATGAGCCATTGACCCTACTAAAATTTTCTACACTGAAGCACAAACCTCATCACACAAGCCATGAGTACATGCTTCCCACTAGAGACAAGCCATTTCCTCTTTCATTTTTTTACATATATAAAAAAACTTGAAATTTGATCATAGTAAGATCAAAAGGTGCCCTTAAGTTAGGTAGACGCCCATTCAAAGTAATGGCAGCGTGCACCTCTAGTTGTAGTCCAATTTCCACATCCAAAGAAAAGGCTCCCTTGCTTAGGCCCTGGCTTTCTGATCATGGCCCTACTGCTTTTCACCCCACAAAAACAGCAAGGGTGATACTGAATCACTGGGGCTGGGGTATTCATATGAATCATATCCCTTGCTTTGTAGGGGCAATGAGGGTAAACATTTTGCTGTTCTTGAGACTGCTTCCAGATCAGTGATCGTTCAGCCGTCTGCCACAAAATGGAGTTGGTAATGGAAAACTTAAAACCCCTGTGCATGAGCAATGCCAGCAGGCGAGCAGTATTTTTGGCATCATCCAAGCCACAATGAGGACGACCCTGCCAGGCCAAGCCAGCTATCTCAACAGCCTCCTTTAGATTACACTTCACATCACCAAATACCTCGCTGAAAGGAATCCTCAAGTTGATCCAGCTAACATAAGTTAAACAGAAACAATAGTCAGTTTTGAAATGGCGCACGGCTTAATAAACATAGGTTACATTTACATTGTGCAGCACTTACCGGTTGAAATAAGGAGGCTTCCGTATTTTCTTGAAGCGACACTCAGATTCAAGCATCACACGACAATCCCAGCTAGACCATGTAACCACAGCAAAGTTGGCATTCTTTATTCCCTTTTTCTCGAGCCATTTGTCATGCCTAAGTAGAGCCTCACTCAATGTAACACCTCTGTCTACCTGAACAATATATAGTAAGAAATACAATTAGCAACCTTCACTCACAGGCAAGAACAATGGAATATAATACTCGACAATCACACATAGGTTAATAACATACAAATAAAGCATAGAAGTATTTCTCTCGTTCAAGGTCAGTTTGTGTGCACAACTTATTATGTATTCAAACAATCTGGGCAAAAAGAATCTATTGAGCCCATACCTAAGTGGAGGTTCTTTATTTACGCCCATGTATTAACTGTGTCAACCTCAAAAGGATATTAATCATCCAATCAGACTGCACACACAAAAGGCTGATCCCAGGAGCAGAGCTAGACTATAGTCTTAGCAAAGGCTAAAATAAAAAGTTAGTGACAATTTTTGAAAAATTCTAGAAAAGATGAGGTATAAGGAGGTTCACACAACCTTGGGATACACTACCATAATGGCTAGCTTTCATGACGCGATTATTTATTTTATAATGCAGTTTGAAATAGGTAGGCATATACAGGCTCAAGCCCTTGAACAATACACTAGCCTGCCCCCTGGTTGATCTACAAGATGCAAGGATACAAAATCATCTGAAAATCAATCGCAACACTATACTCAACCAAAACCCAGTGAGTACTTAGTAATGACTGAAAGGGAGGGAATAAAATCCTCTTCATTTCTCCAAATTACAGATCCACATAATATGAATTTCAGCCCAACATCCTTGTATCAATATCTTTTGCACATCCATATTTTTAGAGAAATAACAGTATATGCTCAATAAATATTAATCACATTTTTTTGCCAATATTCTACTAATATTACTTTATAGATACCACTCCCCCTCAAGCTTTACTATACTTTAGCCTGTAACAAGAAAAGAATGCATTACGACACAAAAAAGTAAATAGAAAAGCAAACAAAAAATTGAGCTCCACCACAAACAAAGGCTGGGAAGACAACTCAGGGGTGTTGGAGAAACCGAAGAAAAATTACTATTAATGATGGCTTAGTCAAATAGTTGGAATGATCACCAGGATGAAAGAAATTCATTACAAGCAATCAAACAAAGAACGTGTCCATCCTTCTCAAAATTGCATTTGAAAGCTTCAAACTAACAAAGACCTTAAATTTTAACTTGAAACTAGGTCTGAGAATTGCTACTATGACAAAGACGAGGCCAGTACTGTCAACAGAATTATTAGCAATAATTAGCTAATTATTAGAAATAATTTTGTTGAGATTGTCCATTTATTTGTAATAATTATTCTCTTAATTAACATAATTAGTTATAAATGTACATATAGCTTATTTAGTGGGTTGAATTTCAACCTGACAGCTTGTAACTAGAAATCAGAATGGAATAAAACACAGCTTTTTGACCAAATCCTTCTTAGTAAACATGGTATCGGCCTAGGTTAAAATCCAACAACCCAGTCTATTTTTTCTTTCACGATCTTTTTCCCTTTTATTCTTGTTCTCGTTTTTTCCACTTTTGTTTCTCGTTCTTGTTCAATTCCTATTTCCATAGTTCCATGTCTACCAAAAAGCATGAAGTCCTGTTGGTTCGCCTTAATGGCAAAAACTACTCAGCTTGAGCATTCAATTTCGAGATTTTCGTCACAGGAAAAGATTTGTGGGGTCATGTCGATGGTAACACTCCAGCCCTTGACAAAGACAAAGTTGCACATGTCAAATGGGTAGTCAAAGATGCTCAAGTCATGTCCCGAGTCCCAGGTTCTGTTAATTCCAACATAGTCCTGAATCTTCAACCTTACAAAACAGTAGCCACAATGTGGAATTATTTGAAGAAAGTCTACCATCAGAACAACGCCGCTCGAAGATTCCAGCTTGAACACGACATAGCTCTCATTAAACATGATAGTCTCTCCATCTCTGATTTTTACTCTCAATTCATGAACATGTGGGCTGAATACACTGATATAGTTTATGCAGACTTAACTCCTGAAGGTCTAAGTTCTGTACAATCTGTTCATGAAACTACTAAACGAGATCAATTTCTTAAGAAATTGAGATTTGAATTTGAAGGCACTCGGTCCAATCTCATGCATAGAAATCATGTACCATCATTGGATGAGTGTTTCAATGATCTGTTGCGTGAAGAACAACGTCTCATTACGCAGTCCAACTTTGAAGATAAAAAATTGTCTACTGTTCCAGTGGCATATATAGCACGAGGAAAATCAAGAAGTCATGACATGAGTGTTGTTCAATGTTTCTGTTGCAAGCAATTGGGACATTATGCTTCAAACCGTCCAAATTTTTTTTGCAACTACTGCAAAAAAGATGGACATATTTTTAAGGAATGCCCAATAAGGCCACCAAAGAGAAATGTCACAGCTTTTACAGCCTCGGTTGATTCATCTATTCCTAACAATTCAGCCAATCCAACACCGATTCAACAAAATACTTATACTACTACTTCAACGGTGACCCCTGAAATGGTTCAACATATGATCGTTTCAGCATTCTGCAAATGATCGTTTCAGCATTCTCTGCTCTAGAATTTTCAGGTAAATCCTCTTCCTCTTGGTACTTTGATTCGGGGGCTTCCAACCACATGACCAACAATGCCCAATTTCTTACTAATATCAAAAAATATTTTGGAAATCTCAAGATACGTACTGTTGATGGAAATCAATTGCCTATCACAGCCACTGGTGATATTTCTTCATCTCTAACAAATGTTTTTGCCTCTCCTGGTCTCACTAGTAATCTCATTTCAGTTGATCAATTAGTCAAGTACAATTCTCACAATCTGGTTGTCTTATGTAGGACCAACAATCAGGAAAGATAATCGCGAAGGGGCCTAAAGTTGGATGTCTTTTCCCAATTCAGTTCTCACTGCCTCCAAGTCTTTCTCTGCCTTTAGTTTCGTGTAATTCTGCTATTGTTGATTACCAAGTGTGGCATAAGCGTCTTGGACATCCAAACGCAAATGTACTTCAAGACTTGCTAAAATCTAGTTTTCTTGGAAATAAACACATTCCATCTCTTAATTCTGTTCATTTTGATTGTATTCCTTGTAATCTATTTTTTTTTTGCATCACATCATAACCTTGTCTCTTCTGCAATTTCTATTTTACCATTGTTTTCTAACTCTCATCCAGGTCAACAATCCTCTAAACATCTCTTGACTTACAAAAGACGTAGTACTGCCACTCAAAATCAACCAACGGATGGGCCCCCTCAAGATAATTCCTTGGTTGCTGGTCCAGTAGAAGAAGAACCAGAACCAGCTCCTCTACGACGCAGCTCACGCGATAAAAAACCCCAGAAAGGTATATCAATTGCATGACAGCATCATTATCTTCTATTCCTATTCGTTCATCTTATAAACAGGCCATGGAGAATAATTGTTGGCAGAAAGCTATTGAAACATAACTTCTTGCCCTGGAAGAAAATTAAATTTGGGATATAGTGCCATGTCCCTCATCTGTTAAACCTTTAGGCAGCAAGTTTATCTTCTCCATAAAGCTGCGTTCGGATGGATCCATAGATCGATACAAGGCTCGTTTAGTTTTGCTTGGAAATAAGCAAGAATGTGGACTTGAGTATGATGAGACGTTTGTTCCGGTTGCCGAGATGACAATCGTACGCACTATTCTTGCTATTGCTGCGTCACAAGCTTGGCCACTACATCAAATGGATGTTAAAAACGCATTCCTCCATAGTGATCTTCAAGAAGAAGTTTACATCAAACTTCCTAATGGTATGCCTACACCTTCACCTAATACTGTTTGCAAACTAAAACTCTCTTTATATGGATTAAAACAGGCACCGAGAGTTTGGTTTAAAAAGTTTCGATCGACACTACTTGGTTTTGAATTCAATCAAAGTCAGTATGATCCATCTCTTTTCCTACAAAGGATTCCTAAAGGCATAGTGGTGCTTCTTGTGTATGTGGATGACATTGTCGAGACAGGTTCTGATCTAGATGGTATTTCTAGAATCAAACACTTGCTGCATTCCATTTTTCAAATGAGAGAGTTAGGCTATCTCACTTATTTCTTGGGTTTAGAGGTGCATTACCATCATGAAGGTGTTTTTCTAAATCAACAAAAGTATATTCAAGACTTGGTCCAACTAGTTGGACTCACAAATGCAGCCCCAGTAGACACTCCCATAGAAGTTAATGTTAAATATAGAAGAGATGAAGGTGACCTTCTTGATGATCCCACTCAATATCGCAAACTGGTAGGAAGTCTTATCTATGTAACTATCACTCGCCCAGATCTTTCTTTCGCTGTACACACAGTTAGTAAGTTCCTGCAAGCTCCACGACATTTCCATCTTTCAGCGGTACGACGAATCATTAGGTACCTCCTTGGCACTCCAAAGCGTGGTTTATTTTTTCTTGTTGATTCATCAATCAAACTCCAAGCATATAGTGATGCTGATTGGGCTGGATGTCCATACACAAGAAAATTTGCTACTGACTGGTGTATGCTCCTAGGAAATGCTCCTATTTCATGGAAATGTATTTCATGGAAATGTAAGAAACAAGATTCAGTCTCAAAATAACTGACATGTCTCAACATTGTTCAAATAGCTGACATTTTCATTAAAACCTTGACACGTCAGCGGCACAATTTTCTACTTGGCAAATTGATGCTTGTAGATTTATCAAGCATCAATTTGAGGGGGGATGTCGGCAGAATTATTAGCAATAATTAGCTAATTATTAGAAATAATTCTGTTGAGATTGTCCATTTATTTGTAATAGTTATTCTCTTAATTAACATAATTAGCTATAGATGTACATATCACATATTAGCTTATTTAGTGGGTTGAAATTCAACCTGACAGCTTGTAACTACAGTGTATATATATGAGAAATCATAAAGGAATAAAATACAGCTTTTTGACCAAATCCTTCTTAGTTAACAAGTACATCAGAATAAAGATGGGGCCAGTGCATCTGAATGAAAGCTGAGGCCATAGCTTCAGGGAGGAAAAGGGGGCAAGAACAGTGTTCAGTTATCCTTAAATACAATGTCCCGGGAGCT